CGGGGGATGATCCAGCAGGGCGGGGAGGAGGAGGGGGACGCCGAGCCTAGTCCCGTCCGTACACCGCCGCCGTCAGCGGCACCACGGTCTGCCTATCCCCGGCTCTGCCCATTCCGCTGCGCCACTTCGTCTGTTTTATACCATTTTCTCTGTCCTTTCTTTCCCGTGTTCTCCCCTCTTTGCAAGTTCCCCTTTGCAAGTCCCAGCCAGCCGAGGCCCCGCAGGAGAGGATACAGGAGGCAGGTGGGATCAGCTCCCGCTGCATGCCCTAGGCTTTGTGCGCAGCCCTTGCTGCACCACTTGCGCTCTCTCTGTATCCCTTGGCTAGGAAGTAGGGTGAGGACCTCGCGTGTGGTCTCCAGAGCCACGTCTGTGCACGCCAACAACTTGTTTGGTCTTCATCAGTATGAAATGTACAGAGTCCTCCAAGCACTCAGCTCTGAAGGAGATCTCAGGCCAGGAGCTGTAGCTCTGTAGAGTGCGTCATAGTCACCTCTCTGGATGGAATGAGAGTGAGATGCAATCCCCGTGCCCCCCAGTCAAAGTAGTAAAGGTTTTTGAGATGTTTATTGGAAATGTAGGGGGTCTGCTAAATGTCATCTGGATGGGCTGCCAGGACAAATATTTCTGCAGGAGACATCTAAATTTCCATCAGATGACAAAACGGAGAGATGAACATGAACCTCCTCATGCAGCCCTTTGGGCAGCATAGCTTTTCCATCATCCACCTACTGAGGAGAAATTTCACAACTATCTTCCGCTAAATGGGGCATTTGTGATGAAGTGGGCAGCTTTTCTTGGGAACATGTCCCATGTCTACAGAAGCAACAGATTTATGACTCAGATATAATGTCTGAATGAATTACTTTATTAGATTTTTTTTTAACTTCAGGGTATTTCTTTTCCTAACTGTGTCATTTGGAGAAAGACTAATTTGCGGAAAGGAGATTTCTTCTAACTACAGGAGAGTAAAATACTCCCAAAATTTATCTCTCGTTACAAATGTTAAAGAGTAATATACATAATGTAAATGTTCACTTAAAAGTAATTTTTTTTTACAGCACAGACAATCCAGTGATGGGCACCTGGAATAAAAGTTTCTGAAGTGCAGCTTCTTTGCAGACAACAACAGATGGGCAGAACAACGACAGAACAATCTGTTGAATAGAAATCGGTTGTATGCTATCTGTACAATAAAGACACAGGCATCTGATAAATGCAT